TTCTATATACTCATGTTTGTTCTTACTCTATTTAAATTTTGGATGTCAACTTCCAACCTTTGGAAACCTAGCTGGATGTTCCAGATGCATTTTTCTTCTTATGATAGGCATGGATCAAAAGAAATGGGCAAATCTTATTAATGTAAAGGAGTACAATTTCATAACTAAAAAACTAACACATTTTTTTTCATCACTGACACCCAGAAAAAGGAAAACACGCAACCAATGCACACTGAAAAAACCCTGTAATCTGATAAATTGAATTTTGTATACTGTGTGTTTTGATTAAACCTTAATTCCACTCAATCAAATAATAAGCATCTCAAGGTTGCATTCATATTCCTTTGAAAATTCTATGAAATAATTCACTTTTTTTAAAAAGCATGTGTTTGAACATCACCCAATACCTTAGTATTCCCAATTATTCACATCAGTCTAAGACTGCCCTAACAAAATCCAGAATCCTTCCTGAACAGGCAACCTAGCCATATACTATAAGCATTTCTAGTTTAACTGAAACACAGGATCCTGCAGAAAACTGAGAAGGCACTGGAATAATCCTTGTGCACAAACTAATTATATCAGTTTAGGAAACATTTCTTCCTTTTCCCTGTGAAAATGGGATTTTCCTTTACAGAGGCTGAAATATAACTGAAATGACACAAATGTTGTTTGGAAAGGAAAGGAAGGAGGGGAGAGATAAGATACATATAAAAACACCACCTTCTATGTGGCCCACCAGCATCCAAACGTTGGATTTTAAATATCAGATGTCTAAATAAAGAGGATATAATTGTGAATAGCAGCATATCCAAGACAATATTCACCTGTGTGTGGAAATATGTGAAACATTAAATAAGTCAAAATATTCAGGCACAGACATTGCAAGATATCCTCTTAGCTAAAATGAGAAAGTCAGAGGGAGTTCAGCTCTCACTTCTTGCTGTAGGTGTAAAATTCAAATAGAGACAATATAGGTATACCTTTATTAAACATTCTGAACTCAGTGCACAAAAGAGTTGATCTAGTTCTTCAATATCTGAATTACCTGGATGATTTCAACAATATACTATTAAACTTTCAATCATTCTGCTAGGTTTTGGTCCAAACGAATATCTGGCCCAGTTAAAACCAATATAATTTCTGCAGCTGCTTGCTTAGAACCCTAAAGCACTGAAAACTCAATTCCACTTTACTGCTGAGCTGCTTAGGTTGTGCTGTGAAATTTGATATGCATTATTCCTTATGATGATCTTGTTGTTTCTTGCTACATATCCATCTCTCAACAAACATAGCCTGACTCCAAACTACTACACACTCCACAAAGAGTACAAATGCTTCTGTAATAGAAGTTATGTGAAAAGTGGCCTACAGACATTCAGTCTGGATGTCTATGACCAAGAGCTGTTCCTCTGAGTTTCGGGACCACTAACAACAGAAGCACACTAACTGTAAGATCGAGGCACATTCTGCACTGTACCTTTACCCTCTCATTGTTATAATCGTAACAATTTTATTATTCATACATTAGAAAGAAAACAATCAACATTAGTAAATGGAGATATGGTCATAAAAGATTATAATTTCACATTAATGAACCTGACCAGAGCTTGCTTGCCCGAGTTGTTATACAAGGAGCTGAGGGGACATCTTCAAACAGGAGTTTTCTGTAACAGCCATTTACATTCATCATTCCATTTCAGCAAATGCTCAACAATTATATACAGAAGTTGGTTCTAGGATTGATAGCTACTCCAAAGGTATGTTACAAAAGGGAGATATATTTCAGGATTTTTCTCAAGAGGCCAATCATTTCCACAGGAACTCTATATTTACTTGTAGAATTTCTACAGGTCAACCTAAAGCTAGAGCAAATATGCCAACTTTGGACAGAATAGGAACAAAAAACAAATAAACCTTTTCCTGAGCTTTTAATCACCTCTAAAAGTATGCCCCCAATTGTTTTGAAATTGGGAATTGTTTAGTTATTGAGTGTAGCTAAGAATATGACCAGGCTTTTATATTTTTTTACCTTTTATTTTTCCATTTTTCCTTTAAATAATATTGATTTTTAGTTTACATCTTTCTAAGAGAATGCAAGTCAAAAAGTCCATGCCCTGTTTTTAATTTGATGTGTCACCAATGTCAGCAGCACAACACAGGTCTGTAAAGAGAATGTCTTACTTTTCCTCTTTTCAGTAGTTGGCTACCAAAGTTCATATTGGATAATGAATTGTGATCTGAGCACTACACAGCCACTCACTCACCCATTCCTCCTCAGGAACACGAAGAAAAAAACAAAGCAAAAGGCTCAGGAATTGAGACAAGTACAGGGAGGGATCACTCATCAATTATGGTCACGGAAGGAAAAAAACCCATCAAGTTATTTGAGACACCACCACCACCACCACCTCTTAAGAGAGTAGGAAAGCGAGAAGTGTTGCTACATTTTAAAAACAACTTTCCCTACCCCTGCCTTCTTCCCAGGCTCAGCTTTTCCCCCAATTTCTCTACCTTCTCTCCACCAGCAGGACATGGGACAGGGAATAGGGGAATTACAGTCAGTCCTGCCACTCATTCCTCCTCAGGTGGAGGACTCCTTGCATTTTTCCCCTGCTCTAGCATGGAGCTCCTCTCACGGGAGACAGTCATCCATGAACTTTCTTCAATGTGAGTCCTTCCCACAGGCTGCAGACCTTCCCAAGCTGCGCTGGTGTTGGTCCCCACCACAGTTGCCATCCTCCCAGTGACGAACTATAATAGCGGGGGCTTCTCCCCACAAAGTCCCGGCCTTCTTTGGGTGCAGTCACCTGCTCCAGCATGGGGTCCTTCACAGGCTGCAGGTGGGTCTCTGCTCAACCGTGGACCTCCATGAGCTTCAGGGGCACAGCCTGACCTCTCGCCATGAGCTGCAGGGGGGTCTCTGCTCTGGCACACCTTCCCCCTCCTCCTCCTTTCTTCCACTGACCTCCATGTTTTCATCAGTGTCCTCCTTGCAACTCCTCCTCACAGCTCCAACTCCTCTTCCTTCCAGGTTCCCCTTCTTGAATATATTGTCACAGAGATGCAGCCACCATCACTAGTTGTTTCAGTCTTGTCTCAGAGTTGGATCCAAGCTAAAGCCAAGAGAGCTTCAAGAATCTTTTCATAGAGGGCCACTACTGTAGCCCCTTCCCACACTACCAAAAACCGCTGACACACACAAACCCAGCACATGAATTAATAAAAAATAGTTACTTTGAAATACAAAATCCACCAGAGATTATAAATTATAACATAGAGTTAATCAAGAATCTAAATAGCTTATAAATATTTTCTAAATATATTATTTTGTTGACAAAAATATCTAAGTTTGTACATTTAGGCAAAAATAAAAAGCTTGATATTTTATACTCATAACATTTACATCAATTTTAAAAAGCACATTTTAAAAAGATCATACTTCCAAGGCTTTGTATGTATGTATTTTTTCTAAGCATATATACGTAATATTGTGCATATATGGAAAAGTTTATGTGTGCAGACAAACCTCTGAACATATGTACAGTAACTGGCATATATCCATGCAATATTCATAGAACATGCATATATAATATAAATACTAACTGAAATTTTACTTAGCCTTTTCCTCAATGTTCTCCTACCTCTGTGTGGTCCTTAGCCAGACCTTCATTTGTAGGATTTTGGGAAAAATTTGGATTAAGTTAAAAACACCCTCTTCTAATTGCAAACACACTCTGTGTAGGAGAGCAGTACTGTGAGGAAAACTGTGTTATCTGTTACACAAAAAGTATATACAGGTACCAGAGCAGTGAGAAAAGATATTAACTTCAAATGGGAACTAATTGCTCCCACACGTGGTATCCTAGTTCTGATGGCACAATGCAAAGTATCATCTGGTGTTGGATCAGATATATTAGCAAGTGAAGTCTTCTGTCCTTGAAGTTAGAAATGGTTTTTGGCCCTGGATGAATGTCTGTAAAAGACATTCTTATCCACTTACCTAAAATGTGTAATGTCAGCTCTAGAGTTAGAGCTAGCAATTCCTTTTAACAATAAAAGCCTTACTTACTTATTTTTAATTTGTGTTAATGTCAAAAAAATGCAGAATAAGGGTAGCGGGAGCTTGTAGCCTGCCACATACATTACAAAAGTTACCGATAGCTAAATTATACCTGTTTGTGTGTATGTAATCCCCACTGGTGATAAGCTATTTACAAACTCAGCAAAAGTTGAGTTTGACAATCTATGTTATATGAGACTTTGCCAGAACAGAAGAAAATCCCTGCTGAACAAAATTACATTAACACCATTTTAAAGCATCAATGATTTTAGCAGAAGATGATTTAAGGCAAAAACAACTATTCCTGTAAAAAATTCAGAACAATGTTACAGACCAGAATGAGAATACTCTTTCTTTTGAGATATGGATTTTAATTTTTAACAATGGAATCATGGAAAATTTTGGATATGTTAGGGTAATATTCAGGTATCTCCGCTGGAGGTTCGGGACTCTTTCTACCCTTTTATAAATAGCTTCTCATTTGAGAAAGATAATAATGAAATAGCAATACCAATTGTGGTTTTTAGCAAGGAGTATGAAGCAAAGTTTATACTGAATGCCTCCTATAAAAATATTGATTTATTTTCTATGTGAAAAAGCTTGTATTGAATTCAAAAGAAATATTCTTTCACTTGAATTTTGACACCTCATCAAGAAGTTTCTAATAATTTACCACATCCAGTTACATTGGTAACTGGCTTGAAACATGACTGAAGGTCTGCAGATAAAAGGATAGATAGTGAGACATCAGAGTGAATGGAGACATAACACAATATAAGGTTATTTTCTTTGTTTTTTATACATTAGAAATAAATAAAATGAAACAGAGGTGGGAAAATTAAGGCCTATAATATTTGTGAAAAACATATCAGTAACACCTTAGTCTGTGTTTTGCCACCATTTCAAAAGGACCTAAACTATCAATATATTGAAATACCTCCATGAAATACTCAGGAAGAGTCACGACTTGCAGGTCTGTGCTTCTAGGTGTGTGCAGTGGTGATGCATGATAATCAGAATTTCTGAGGCTGCTGTAGAACTGTGGAAGATGAATCGGAGTAAAGCAGAGATGGGTGAGTGGATATAGCTCATGCACAGCTGAGTTATTGGTCTTCCAGCCTGTCATTCTTAGAGACAGATAAAAGAGGACAATAATCTTCAAAAATTGCAGTAATAGCTGAACTGCTGTATGTCCAGAGTGAGAAGTAAGAACATCTTTATTCACTATATCTATCACATGCAACTCATTGCTGTATGTCCTGTGCTAGGTGGTGATAATGTGCAGGTTTGTTGTTTAAGAAAACATTAATTAACATTATTGTTTCTTAAATATTTTCTATAGATTTTCACACTGGAAACACAATACGTTGCTGACATCTGATAAAGGCTACCCCAGGCATATCACTCCATACCAACAATCACCTTAGCTTTTCTCCTTCACTTACCAGAGTTTTTATTCATAAGCCTCCTGGCATCCTAGTTGCCTTCATCTAGAAAGCTACTATCCTTCCTGTCTCTATGCCTCCACCTGAACTTGTTTTTCAACCACATTTCCACTCTGGGCAGAGCTCACCCACAGTTCTGCAGTAGAGGAGATGCCATTCCAGCTCCTCAGGGAAAGACATAATTAATCTCTACTTTAGTTTTTTTCCTAGGGAAACACTTGTTTCTGATAGCAGATTTTTTTTTTTTTTTCCCTTCTGTAATGCAAGCATTTTTTTAAGTGAAACACAGTCATTTTCAATGCATGTCACTTTCCCAGATTACTTAAAATGCAGATGGCCAATCAAAGTAACAAGTTTGGAAACATTCCCTGGCCCAGCTCATAACAGCAGAGGTTGGATGCTATATTTATATCTATTCCCATACATTGAATATTACACGAACCGATGGGAAAGGACACAATCATAGAGGAAGCAGTAAAATTTAAGGTAGAGACTGGCTCAACAGAACTGGAGGAATCCTTTATCAAAGATACAGATGAAAGCAAGCAAGATCTTCGCATATGAAAAACATTCGACTACCTCCTCTACCATCTTGTTTTTTTGTGGTACTGAATCTCCTCTGTGCTTGCTTCAACTCCACACCAAACTGTTGTATGTCTGAAGTCACGTTGTCAGCTATAACTAATAGTTCTTTCTGTAGAGCTGTTGATGACGTAAATTTTTTCTGACAGTGATTTCACCCCATTCACATGATTGCTGTCTCCTAGAAAGTGAATGTGTCGGATGCAATTGCTTGTAGTACATTGATGCATGAAATTCAGTTGCTCATACAATCAATCTTGTTCTTAGCATGGATATTTCAGCAAATGTTATGTCAGATGCATATCAAACATTTCATTTAACAGGGATGTACATCTTTAGCAAACACAGCCAAATCCATATTCAGCCAAACACGTGAACAGAAATACAATGAGATTACTGTGGGTCGTCTTAAACAGGAGATATATTCAATTGAGTAGGTGATTTATTTGCTACTAAGAATGATGTATGTGATGTGGTGGATGATGTACCTGACTTAGTTCAGCACCTGACAAATCCAATTCAGTAGGTGACACAAGGTATCATTTTTGCAGAAATATATCTGATGTACTAGGTTATGAATTTGATACAAATTAGGTCCTTTTCTTTCATAAGCAATACTTTACTTTTCTCCTAAGGTATTTGACTGTAAACTGTATAGGAGATACATGTCTTTCACATTAAATATTAATAAATGACATGTCCATTATACCCTGTAACAGCCTTTTGAATGCTGAAATGAACAATAAGAAGTGACAGAAGCATTATTTTTAAAGGGTGTTTTTGACACAACATGTGAAAGATGGATATCAGATATAGCTAGAAGAGAAACACTGAACATCAGTGATGCTGCTTCTTGAATTGCAGAATGCCACCAGAGCAAAAGTAAATAGTAAACTACATCTGAAACTGTAACTATAAATCTCTACATATGAAGCGGCAAAAATAAAGGGGTACTAGGCTTAAGTTCTGAGCCCTCAGGCTGGAGGCAAAATTAGTGCACCTCGAGGTCAACAATAATTCATTTGAATTTTTCCTTGGTAAGGGAAAATGATCCAACCTATGAGAGCAAATGCCTATACAGCATACAGATCTACTTTTCAAGAGGTCTTCTACCCTTACATATCTTATATATTAAAGTGATAACTAGGTTAGAAGTGCATAGGCATTTAATTTATATCAATAGAAAAACATTTGTAGTTATGCTATTAAATACGAGGTGGGGACAAGGGTGAGAGGAGGAGTTGTTGATACAAAAGTACTATAATAAGAGTTTGTCCATCCCTTCCCTCCACAGTCTGGTGACTTTTCATGTAAGTTAGGCTGCTCTCTGGACATTAGAATAGACAGACACAGTCAAACCCATAATGCTGCTGGTATCCTGAAGAGCAAAACCAGAGTAAGACAAGTTTTCTAGAAGGTGGATGCCTGCACTGAGATCATCAGAATGTCTTGGGCATGTGTCTTAATTCTAAACACAAATGAAAGCTTTATGCATGAGAAAATTTTTAGACAGTATCCTTGTTTTTAAAGATTATAAATCCTGGCTTAGGCTATTAAATGGAGTTGCACATTAAACAGTGGAGATACTGAAAAAGCCATGCAAGGGAAAACCCTAACTGCATAAAGTCAGGGAAAGGTAGTTTAACACTGTCAAGAAAACATAGCAAAGTCCACATATTTTAAATCTAAAGACAATGTAAGGAAAAGAATCTCAACTATTTTTCATGGCATATCATAGATCATGCTTCATACTTACTTTATGTGAAGGAACTCCAAGTATACCAGTGGTTTAAGATGGACCTTAAAAAGAAAAAAAAAAAAAAAAAACAAACAAAAAAAATCTTTACATTCCAAAAAACAGAGTTTATTAGAATGAGATGTGAAACTGTTAACTATTTAGACAGACTATGTCTAAACAAACATAGTCAAAATAATCACGAAAGACAACAAATCAAGAAGGACTTAAAGTGTGTGTTGCTATTCCTGCTTCCTATTGTGCCCCTGCAAGACAAATTTTCATTTTCAGGTTTCTTTCCATTCAGCTCAGTGGCTTTCTTGTTTGCAGCAAATTCTGCATAAACCCCTCTAGGCCTCCTATCTCTTCTGAGGCTTGACTGTACCTCTGTTCTCTGCTTCTCCTGTCTACCCTATCACATCAACTTTCCCAGGCACAGTATCCTCTCTGATTTTGGGAAAAACAGACTATATCACTGATATATATATTAAAGTATGACACAGAAAATAGGAATAAGGAATTATGATAGGTCTTTTGATACAACATGAATAAAAATTCACTATCATGCATTTAGACTCCAGTGCAATTCAGATATTAGAATTACTTGACATGGATTTATGCTGAAATATTCTCACTTCAATTTAATTATGACATACAATATCCTTGCCTCCCCTTAAAAAAAAAAACAAACAAACAAACAAACAAAAAAAAACACCAACAACCCCCCTCAAAAAAAAACCCAAAACAACCAAAAAAGAAACAGAAAGCTTGATTTTTTAAATCTAATTTCACCAATTAAGATTTATGCTACATATTCCTGTCTACAGATGTTAATCTCATAGTCGGAACATCTCGTAGTTAAAAAAGCAGTACCAACTGGCTGTCATACACTTCTAATTGCTATAATAATCTCAAAGAAACTAATCAAGGAGAAAGAAAAACATGTTAATGAAATCAGGGAAGTTTTGGTGCTCAGATGACACTATATATCCAAGCTCTCTGAAAAGAAACCCTTGCTATTTTGACCAATATACTGGAGTTTGAAAGAGTTCTCCAGACCTGCTAGAACTCAGCTGCAGACAATCCCAGAGCAGAAAGTGAGAGATCAGGCATAACCAAGATATTCAGTATACAGTGTAGAGCAACAGCTTCAAAACAGCATTTCCTTCAGAAGTGTGCTCAAAATATTAAAAGTAAAACAAACAAACAAATAGGATTATGGTGTGAACAATCAAAATCCAATTCCAAGTAATTGGAAATGACACTTTAACAGTAGCCTTTTATCCTCACTTCACCTACAACCTTAACAATCTTTTCTCCCAACCCATCAAAACACTACAAGATCAAAAGTCCCTATACCCACTCATTTTCTTCTCCCAGGAGAAGAGACCCATATTTTTATCTCTTAGTTCTGATTGGCCTCAAGCTGGAAATATCCCCACCTGGCTTTCCACTTATAATTAGGGCAATTAGCCTCTGCCTCTCTGGGCTTGCTGCCAGTGTAGTCCAGTTGATTTTTCCCTAATGATGCAGAAAGCTCTATGACTGGAAAAAGGCTTCAGCCACAAGCAAATAGAAGTACGAGACAAGGAAGTCCAGTATGATGTGCTCTGCTGCATGGTTTTCTCACCAATCTCACTCAGGAGTTTTCTTTTCTGCAATTACAGACTAACTTGATCTTAAGTCATCTGAATTTTACAGAAACTTTCCATGTACATCAGAAGGTTTCAGTCCAATCTGTTATCATTACAAGTGCAAGCTGGAAGATATTTTTCTGCCTTATTACATCTGTTATTCAGTCTGCTTTTCACCTGACACAGGCTAGACCTTTTTTTTTTTTCCCCCCCAGTGTCTGAAAGCAAGACTAATTCAGCTGCTACAGAATCTTAGTTTGTTTTCTTTGACAAACCCTGAGAGGAAAGTCACCGTTACCACACTTTGATTACTGCATCACTTTCCTCAAGGAACAACAAATGAAACACTCAAGTTTTTTTAAAAAGAAACACCCCCCACCATGGGAAACCATAAAGTAACAATCACATAAGGTTTATTATAATGTATTCTATGAGAGCTGAGTTTAGCCTAAAGATACACTTGAAAGGATACATACTTTCATGCATCTAGAGCTGATAAAAATGTGCTCCTATGTGTTTGTGCTAAGATATAAACTTTGATAAAAGGTAAAAATGTAGTTCTGAAAATCTTACGTTGCATTCTGCCATCAGCATTTTATTGCTGGCTGAAATGCAGTTTATAAACAGTGAAGATGGATCTAACAATTCATATCAGTATGGTCAATCCATTTTAGTACTAGGTAAATTAAATTTGAGTTTCTAGAAAACTGCCTGTTAGATGTAGAATTTTCCTTTATGGACTCTGAAGGCTGTTTTACTTCTTCAACTCAGCCATTACTTTAAAAATATTTACCTCTAACAGTTAAGAAAAGAGGCTCAATATCATATGTTTTTATCAGGTAAATATAATCTATAAATAAGACTACGTTGTGCCTAAACAAACTGAACAGGTTCTTGTCTTGCTATTACATTCTTATAATTCATTATATACCTTGAAGGAGGAAAACTCTTACATAACACAGGTCTTACTAAGAGAAACATGTATTTGAATGCCTTTTTTTCCTGATGTTTATGTAGAAATAATGTAAGGTTAAGATTGAAAATATTAATATTGTTAACCATTTCATAGAAGTGGAAGAGCATGGTAAGCACTCTCTAAAGCTCTTACTGTGTACATAGTTACATGGGTTGAATATTAAAACACTGTGACACAACTTTATCACACAAATAGTTGTTTATTATTGTTCTAGTCCAATGTCTTTGCTGGTGCCAAAAGTGGCAGTAGCCCCACAGTTTGTGATCAGCAGGGGTTAACAACCAACTGTAATAATGTTAATAACCAAATAACTGTAGAGACTGAGTCTCTTGGATTGTGGTCCTGGCACTGGCTCATTGTGCAGAGCCTGCATCCTTCCATGCTTTTGGCAAAGTGTAGGATCCTTCACATCCAACAAAACTAATACACAGTCACCTGAAGCTGATGTTTGAATGTGACAGAGGGTTGTCACAAAGACCTTTAGTAATGATGAAACCATCCAAGTTGTACATTTTAGATGGAAAATAATTACCATGTTTCATCTTGAAATGGATTTATGTAATATGTTTTATATACTGCAGTAAAGCAAATTTTGTGATAGTCCCTCTGCAAGTTCTCTAACTTGTTGGGTGAGGATTTTTCAGTTTGATGACAGTAAAATAGTTTAGTAAAACAAAAAACACTAATCCTTTTTCTTTCTCCAGAATTTTATTTTATGAGAATTTACTCACAAAGCATTACCACTTTTGTTCCTGTTCAGAAATGACAAAAACTCCTCTAGATAAAATAGAATGAAAAAACATTTAAAACAAACCCAAAAAAACTTTATCGCCACCTAATTTTTAAGAAAAAAATCCAAAGTGTTGTTGAGCTTTGGTTTTGTATCAGACTCTGTATCTTTCTGTGGCTTTAACTCACTTCAACAGCCATTTGGACATATTATATTTCTCTACACCAAAGGCCTCTGACCCCATCTTTTTCTGCTGGCTGTCTCTTAGAGTATAATGCTTTAGCTTTGTGTAACTTGCAATTTTTATTTTTTTTTTAAATTATTATTTGCCTTGAGAGCAAACTGTTTTTGTAGAGCCATAAACTGCCATTTCACTTCATATTCAGACTTGATTTGTATTCAACACTAATCAGCATTCAGGTCCAATGTATTTGTGATGTTTCAAGGGAAAGAAAATGCCATTCTTAGGTGTGTTTGAACTGAGGACCTGGGAAAGAAGCCCAGATTTAGAGTTAAGTGTACTTTAGTGTGTGAAGAATGAGATGATGCAATTCTGCTTTTTTGTTGCTGTTGCTGGTAGTACAGTATCCACACTTGCACAGACGACTGGCACTATAGCAAACTTCCCCACTGTTTGTTCTGCTACCCAGACAGTGAGTTTACGAGCTTCTGCTAATCCCAGGAGGATCCTCATCTTTACTGTGTGTCAGCTGAGGAACTGTGGAGTCCATTGTCCCATCCTGGGTGCAGTGAGAACATCTGGCTGTGGGAAGAAAGGCAGGTGTGACAGATGAGAGGCAGCCACAATGCATCATGTCATTAGCTGTTTTTGAAAGTTGATGTGATTCATGCACTTTTAGAAGACTTTAGCTGGACTTTTTCCAAGTTCCTTGAGAGAAACTCTTGACTGCTGAGAAAAGGCAACAAAACACATGCATCTGCAGAGTATTACCTGTCTATGAGCATCCTTTCTTACCGTTTTTTACCTTCTCCATGAAAGACAAGGCTCTCCACCATGTCCTCCATTCTCACATCCTCCAACCATAACAAAGGCTGTGAAATGCTACATATAGCACAACTGCCTAATTGTAATAGTCTGAAGTGGCAGGTATTCTGACCTGCAGACTGATCAGTCAATTCACAAATGGATTGAGTGCTGCAGTCATAGAAGATGAGATGAACACCAGGACTGTCTCCATAAAATATAAGAGCTTCAAATATTCCCATTTCACAGAAAAAAAAAAAAAAAATCATTAATAACATGATAGGTTTGCAGTAGAAACTTGAATTACACACTAGAAAGATTGATATGATGACTGATATGACATACAGAAAACACCTGGTATCATTTTGTCCTTGCTGATATTAGAGTATAAGACCTTGACTACTGTGAGGTAGGACAAATAAGAAACTACGTCAGCTAGACTTAAGGAGGGACTGTTGGCAGGAGGAGTTTCCATCTATCAGACAAGTTATTTCATACAGTAACTATTAAAGGCAAACCTCAACTCTAAGGTAAATTACCAAAACTACTGACTTTGTCCTCATTTTTCTCTGGTCACCTGCAACAGTGACATTCACTCAAAATAACCAGGATCCTCATTATAATAACCAAGTGAAATAGGGTATTTTTGCCTGTACCTTTGCTCAGAAATGTCTATAAAGAGTTATTTTTCTGTAAAGAGTTATTTAGACTCATGTAAGAAGTACAGCTGGCATCATTTT